GGCGGGGTGGGGACGGCGGTGGGGGCCCGGGAAGGGGCCGGGGCGCGGGCTGCGGGGCCCGGGGCCGGCGGGCGCGGCCTTACCTCCGACCCTGTACATGTTGGCGGCCATGTCCGGCGGCGGGCGGCGGGCCGCGGGCGCGGGCGGCGGGCGGCCTGGAAAATGGAGGCGCGGGCGCGGGCGGGGGCGCGGGCGCGGCGGGCGGGCGGTTTAAAGGGGCCGCAGCCTCCCCCGCCGCCGCCGAGGCCGCGCAGGGACCGAGGCCGCGGGCGGGCGGGAGAGGAAGAGGAGGAGCGGCGCCGGCGGGGGAGGGGCCTCTGCGCTGCCGTTACCGCCGCCGCTCGCCCCCTCCCTCCCGCCGCCTTCGGGCAGGTCCCGCCCCTCCCCCGCCGGCCTCCTCCCGCCCTGCCCGTTGGGTCCGTCCCCAGCCGCACGCTCCGGGGGACCCCGGGGGAGCCTCCCGCCGACCCCAGGGGACTCCTGGCACCCCCAGCGCCCCTGCCCGCCTCACGCACCCTCCTCGCCACCCCCGGGCCTCCCGCCCGGCTCTCGCAACACCAGCCGCTCCTGGGGGACCTCCCGGCCCACGGCTCTGTCCTAGGCCGCCCTCCCCCGGCCCCGGCCCTTGCCTGCCCCTCGCAGCCCTGCCCCGCTCCCGCCCTGGGACCGCCCCATCCCACCTCCCGGCGGGCGGCCTCCGGCTGGTGGCCCGAGGGGCAGGCTGCGGGCGGCGGCGGCGCCTTCGCTGCCCTCCCGAAGGGCCGCTGAGACTGGGAGTCCAGCAGGCCGGGCGACCCAGACCCGGGGGGTTGGGGTGACGGGGATGCCATGCCCAGAGGACAGGGCGCCTGGGGGGCGCCTATGTGGTGAGGCACCTGCTGCTCTTCCCGCCCCATCAAATGTGGTGTGGAGCCCCTGTGGGAGCGGGCGGTTGCCCCAGGTCCCAGGAGAGTCCAGTCCACGTGGAGCTGCCAAGACCAGGGGTCCCCACGCACCAGGGGAGAAAGCTCGAGGCCGAGGGGGTGGTGTCCCGGCCACTGTGAGGCGCGGGGTTGGGGTGTTGGGGCTCCAGGAAACTGGTCTGAGCAAAACCCGGGGTACCACCCTGCCTGCTCAGATGGAGCAGGCCTGTGGCCGGAGCAGGGGACGACGTCCAGTTGGGGGACAGCAGTGGGACCTGCAGCGCAGCATCCAGGGGGTGGAGCTCAGGGACGGCCCACAGCTGAGGGCAGGGTGCTTCATGCGGGGGCCTCAGCTGTGCTGGTGGAAGCCAGGAGGGGTCCAAGGAGGGCAGTGAGGGCACTACCTCTCAGGACCTCGGGGGGGGGCAGGCGGTGGGGAGGCTCGAGGTGGGGGGACCACAGTTGTGGAGGGAGGGAGTAGGTGGCGGGAGCTGAGGGATGGGAGAAGGCAGGTGATATTCCAGAGGGGGGTGGAATGCGCCCCTCCCTCCCACGGCCTGTCCTCGCTTCCACCAGTGTCTCCTTGGAAAGCAAACGCGCCCGTCGAGTCTTCTACCAGCAGCCCCCCCCCCCCCCCCGCAACCAGAGAGTCAGGACTCCCGACACCCACCCAGGCGGCTGCTGGGCACCAGGGAGAGCCCATGACTCCCTGCCTCACGGAGCCCTGCTCTGCCACCCCACCCCTGACCCCCCCAAGACAGGAGAGGCCCCCGACCCTGCACGGGCACTGGAGACCCTTGAGCCCACCCCCTGGTGGGAACAGAAGCCCACCGTTCCCGCTACCTCTGGCAAGGCAGGCAGTCAAGGCTGCTCTCAGTCGGGGGTCAGGGTCAGGGTCTGAGGGAGGCCACCTGCATTCCAAGCCTTCCCGTGAGAGAGAAGATGCCCCCGCAAAGCAGAGCAGCACCAGCCCCGCCCCCCGAGGGCTGCCCCGTGGGCTGCCCCCCGGGCCCCTCCAGAGGAGCCAGGGGCTGCTCGAGTGGCTGTGCCTGTCACTGCCCCGGAGCCAAGGCGGCCAGCGCGTGGAGGCGCCGCAGAAAGGCCACAGAAAGACCCGTCGTCCACTTGGCAGCAGAGCGGACAGGCTCTGGTCAGAACGGGGACCAGCGGTGAGGGCCCAACTGCACCCAGGGGCCGACCGCAGGGGGCAGCCCCGCAGAGGACCCTGCGGGGAGCAGGGGCTGGGGGCGTCCATTGGACCCGCGCCCGGAACGCGGAGCTCAGCCACTGGAGGACAAGTCACAGCGCTGGAGCGAGATGCCGGCCAGGAGACAGCTCCTCAGAGCCACCCTGCAGCCAGGTGACTTCTGGAGGGGGGGGGCAGGAGGCCGGTCGCACGGGCCAAGCTGGAGGTCGTTCTGGGGGAGACAGAGCTGTGGCACCTCCCTGGACTGCGGTCGCAGGCTCCGCGTGAACTTGGGGCACTGGGCAGGTGCGGGGTGGGGGAGGAGGGCAGGGTGCACGGCCTGTTGTGCCCTGCCAGGGCCCTCCTGGGGATCCTGGTGGCAGACCGTGGGGAGAAGTCAGGATGCTGTGGAGGAGGCCCAGAGGCCACATTGCTGTGCAGGGACGGGGAGACACAGAGCTGGAGCAGGGCCCAGAGAAGGGCTCCGGCACCCTGCAGGGGAGCTCCCGGGGCTCACCGCAGCCTGCACGTGAAAGGCCGCGCCGCAAGCCAGCGAGACCCGCGTCCCGGGGGTGAGGATGTGGCAGCTCCCAGAAGGAGCGCGTCGCAAACGAGGACCAAGTGCCGGGCTGTCCCTGGGGTCCTGGGCGCCGTCCCAGCCAAGCGTCCTGGCCAGCAGGAAGGCCCCCAGAAGACAGGGCCCACCGAGAAATAAAGTTCTTTAAAAAAGCAAAAGCCGACCTTGAATGAAGCCACTGAGGATGCAGCCACCACAGGCTCTGGGGCCCAGTACGGGGATGAGCTGGCGCCCGTTTTTGGGGCCCGGGGGCTCAGGAGGGAAGGACACAGCAGCCTCTGCCGCTGCGACTCTGTGCGGGGCTCACGGCCGCTCGGCCGACGCCGTCTCCCACTGAGGGACGCCTGTCCCTGTGTGGTTCCCCCCGGTGACCTTCGGAGAGCCTTTCCAGCGGGGGGCAAGGAAGCGTGCACCTCGCTTCAGCGACCCCGTTTTCCCTGGGCAGCCACCCTGGTGTGTGAGCAGCAGCCCCCCCACCCCCACCCCCACCCTGTCCCCACTCGGGCCTCGGACACATGCGCGTGGCCCTCACCTGACGCCGGCAGAGGCCCCTCGGTCAGCCGCCTTCCTCAGGCTCCCTTGTCGGCTGCAGAAGAGCGAGTGTCCTTGCAGAGCCAGAGCAGCCATGTATTTCGGGGGACACTGAGGGGCCGTGGCTGTCCCCGGGGCCGGGCCGAGGGCCCCCTCCCTGCCTGGGTATCTGGAGCGGCCTCTGACCCCTGCTCCACACCAGCCTGATGCCCAGGCACAGACGGGTTCCAGGGCATGTGGGCGGCCACATGGCCAGCCTGGGAGCCCACGCCCGGGAGACTGTCCTCCCTGCCGCCGGGGCACCCTGATGCCCATGCCCCAGGGGACCCTGTGGGGCCCAGGGAGGCACATTAGGCTCCTGGAGCTGGGGGAGACCTGCCTGGTGGGGGAGCAGACGTGAGGGGAGAGAAGGAGAGGGGGGGATGCGTGGCCACAGCAGGCAGCGGGCGCTGCCGGCGGGGGCCAGGGTGTGTTAGCCAGGCAGGTGCTGCCTGGCCGGTCTGCTGGGTGGGCCCTTCTCTCAGCCGGCCCCCAGGCCTTAGACGCTCCTCTCTCCCAGGGGCTCCCAGCAGGGGCGCCGCTGACATTCGGGGTCTGGTCATCTCAGTTGTGGGGGGGCATCCAGTGCTCTGGGATGCTGAGCGGCACACGTGGCCTCTCCCTGACCAATCAGAGCCCCCAGGGAGGGCACGGTTCCCGCCCCCAGACCTGTGGCTGCACTGGGTCACGTGGGGAGCAGGTGAGGCCCCTGTCCCAGGTGACCCTGTGGACCCCATGGCCGCGTGGTCCCTGAACGGAAGAGGCGGCGGAAGACAGGTGTGACGGTGGAGGGAGGCCAGGGGGCACTGGGCTGCCCACTGGGGAGATGGAGGTGGGGGGCTACCAGCCAAGGGACGTGGGCAGCGTCCAGAGGCGGAGGAGGCCAGGAACGGACGGACGGAAGGTCCCCTGCAGCCTCCAGAAAGGAGCCAGGCCCCCTCACACCCCGGCTGCAGCCGGGCGAGGCCTGTCTCGGACTCTGCGTGACTCGCAGCTAATGACGGAGAGACACGGGGTCTTGGGGGACGTGTCGGTGCAGCGGCACCGGCCCGACAGCGGAGCCACCGCCAGGCCCCGTCCCAGGCCCCGGGGCGGCTGGAGGGGACACGGGCTCTGTGCCAGCCCCACCAGCAGGCGGCGCTCCTGCCCCACGAGCTGGGTTGGCCCTGTGGCCCCCGAGACCAAGGAGGCTCCCAGGGCAAGGTCTCAGCCTTGAGCTTCCCCGGCTTGGGCCACTGTGGGGGTGGGGGTGCTGGGGCCCCTGGAACCAGCTCCCGGTTGGGGGCACCTTGTGCAGAGAGGGCCTGAGGCCACGCAGGGGGCAGAGGGCTGGCCCCACTGGCCTCTCGAGACACCCGAGCAGACCAGGGAGGCGGCAGGGTGAGCCAGAGGAGCCCTGGGCCTGCGTGTCTGACCCGGAGTCCATCACAGCCACTCAGCAACAGGGGTCCACAGCACTCTGGCCCCTGACACCCGGCCTCTCACCCACTGTCAGGGGTTTCCGAGCGGGTGGGTGGGGTCAGGTGTTCTCCAAAGCCTTGCCTCCCCCTCCACCCCTCACACCACCGCCCCCAGCTCCAGCCAGCACCCACCCTAGCGGTCCTGAGAAGTGCACAGGCTGGGAACAAATTTAATCTCAGCGGCCGCCGGGCAGAAGCAGGCGCCTGGCCGTGTGGTCTCCGCCGGCGCCCCGAGCCCAGCAGTCTGGCGGGGCGGGGCTGGTCATGCCCCACGGGGCCCGGTGTCGGGGGGGGGGGGGGGGCTGTCAGGAGCGCGGGCACCTGGAAGCCTGGGCCTCCGAAGTCGCGTTGCGGGAGAAAGGCAAGCCGAGGGTCAGGAGGGCGCGGCCAGGGAAGGCGGGCAGGGCAGGCCTCTGCGGGTGGGGGACGAGCACGTCCTTGTCCACCACCTCGTCCGCCAGCTGGGTCAGGACCCGCAGGAGGTCCTGGGGAGACAGCAGGGTCAGGCGGCGGGCGGGGCGGGGCAGGGCCCCCCACGACCACTGCCCCTCGCCCCTCGCCCCTCGCCCTGCCCGCGCACCGGGCGGCGGGTGCAGACCCCGGTGGAGCCCCGCATGGCCCGCTGCCGCCGCTCGTCGATGCTGAGGCTCCAGTGGCGGCGCGGCTCCCGGCTCTCCTGGGGTTCGCTCACCTGCGGAGACAGGACGGCGGTCCGCGCCAGCCCCACACGGGGTCCCTGCCCCCTCCAGCCCTCTCTCTGCGCCCTCTGTGGCGGATGCTGGGCCCCAGGACCCAGCTCCAGCTCCCACGGCGGCGGACAGAGCCTCGCAGCCTCGGACAGCAGCTGCGCATCCAGACGCGGCAGCACCCGCCAGCACCCGCCCTGCTGGGCTGTGCCCTGGGCGCGCAGGCAGCGAGCCCGCTCAGCCGGGGCCTCGGTGGTCCCGCCGGTGCCCTAGTGTGGCCCGGAGCTGCGGTGCGCACTGGGGGCTGGGAGAATGGGCAGCCAGGCTGTTGTGCACCCCAAGAAAGGCGAGGCCGGAAGGTCAGCTCTGTCCCCCCAAACCCATCTGAGGCTGGCCACGAGGAGATGAAGGGGGAACACCACACAGAGGAAGCCATCAGGACGCAGGAACCGGCGGCCACGGCACCACCTGGGAAAGGCCAGAAGTGGGCCACGCCCCACAGGACCACTGCCCGAGTTCCTGCCCCCTCCTGGGAGAAGACAAGCCACTCTCGGGGAGTGCCAATGGTGGTGGGGGGTGGCGCGCTAAAAATGGGGGTTTAAGACGAGCTGGAGGTCCCCATTCCTCAGAGAGGGAGAAAAGAGCGCCCTGCGGGCCTGCAGTCCCCCCCCCCCCCCCGTGTGCACCCGAGGGGCTGGGGGCAGGGGCGGGAGGGGCGTCGGCACACCCACTCGCACCGCAGACCCGCCCACCGCAGCCACGGGAAGGAAGCAGCCAGTGTCCATGATGGGGGGCGGGGGGCCCAACGTGGTCCCTCCTCCACACAAGGGAACGTGACGCAGCCTCAGGGAGGATGGACATCCTGGCACCTGCCACGGCACGGGCGGGCCTTGAGGACACAGTGCCAGGCGCCCACACAATCCGCGGATCCCACCGACGCGAGGGACCTGCACAGGCAGACCCAGCCAGACAGCCGCCCCGGGCTGGGGGTGGGGGGAGTCGGGGGTCGGGTGAAAAGCTCTGAAGGCCCGTGTCTCGGCGACGCGGGCACACCGCTGGAAGTGGGGAGGAGGACAGACGAGGGACGCAGTGGACACCTGGACACAGAGATGCACAGAGAGGGGAGGCCGCGCGAGGCGGCCTGGGGAGACGGCCGTCCGGGAGCCACGGAGAGGGGCCTGGCCCCGCCCCCTCCCCCACGGCCTCAGAGACGCCACCAGCCCACGTGCTGTCGCCGCAGGCCTGGCCTCCGGAAATGGCCGTCGCGTCTGCTGGGTAAGGCCCCCCACCAGGGTGGAAGCCCCAACCCTCCTCCAACTCGGCACCGAGAGCCCTGGCAGCTGGGCCCTTGCCGCCGCACCCCCCCCCCGCCAGGAGAGCAGGACGACCAGCCCTGGCGGACGCCCGGCAGGCACCCGGGGTGCGGGGTCCGCGCGGAGCACACGGGCCTCCCACCAGCCCCACCCAACACAGGCTGCACGCCACTCGCCTCCCTGTGCGGCACTGAACCGCCCCCCGGGACCAGCCAGCTGGGCCGTGGAGCAGCACCAGCCTGCCCCTCCCCCGGGACCCCGAGACCCTCAGGGGGGCGCGGTGACCAGGGGCCGGCGGAGCGCCGGAGCTCCGTAATGAAGACACGCGACGCGGGAGCCCCACGTTCCACCGGAGGCATGGTCGGCGGTCGTCCCCGATGCCGCAGGCCCTTCCCGTGGCGGGGTCGGCGCCTGTCCTTTGTGCCGGGACAGCGCCCCGGCTCGCGCCAAGTCCGGCCGCAGGGAAGTCGGCGGAGCTGGGCGGCACAGCAGGGGGCGGGCAGCGTGGTGCGTCTCCCCTGCCTGGTCAGAGCGCCCACGTCCCCCCCCCGCGCCCCCTGCGTGCCCGGGGCTGCGTTCCCCGGTCCCCAGAGGACGGCTGCCTCTCCCGGGACGCCAGGCCCATGCGCTGTGCCCACGGCCGGCAGGATGCCGTGCTCCGTCCGTCCTTCCTTCTGTCCTCTCTTCTTCCTTCTGGGCCACTGGGTGTCCTCTCCACCTCACTGTCCACCCCGTTCGCGCGGAAGTGGTCCTCTGTCTAGCCTGTCGGTGTCATCGCGGTGTGCTTGCAACCTCATCAAAGTCTGAAGGTGACGGCCGTCTCCCTGTGTCTTCCCGGCCAGCCCCAGGGCCGGGGGCACAGCTCTGCCCGCAGACTCCGGGCGCCGGGCTCCCTGGTGCCGCGGAGCCGATCGGGGGCGGGTGCCGTGCCCACGTCAGCGCCCCCCTCCTTCTTCGCCCCCCGGGTTCCCTCCGAGCCCACTTTCCCGGGGTGAGGTCTGCTCTCAGAACTGGGGCGAGGGTCCGCTGGCGGCAATCTTTTTCTCCCACTTGCCTTTTATTTATCTATTTCCCCTCCTCTTGAAAGATGTCTGTGCCGGGCACAGGACACCGGGGGAGTGGCTTACACTCAGCAGCGCACCCGCCTGCTGCCCAGGCAGCTTCCGGGCCGTCCAGGCCGGGCTCGGCGTGGCGCCTGCGAGGGCCCGTCACCGTGTTCAGGGTCTCCGCTCTGCTCCCACAGCTCCGGGGCGGAGGCCTTCCTCCGCTTCTGCCGCCCGGGGCCCGGTGGGCCTGGAGCAAGGTCGCCGGCCGCAGGGCCCACGTCAGCCGGGGCCCCCACATCCACGCCCCGGGCTCCGCCCACACCGAGTGGGCTGCTGTGGCGTTGACGGCGGGACCTCGGGGCAGCCTCCTCCTCACTGGCCGGCCGTCGGCCCACTCTGGGGCGGGCCAGCCACCGTGGGGCCCGGTCCATGCCAGCCCGTGAACGCGACCGGCCCTGCAGCCCAGCCAAGCTCCCAGATGACCAACCATGGTGCTGCCTGACACCCCGACTGTGACCTCGCGGAAGGAAGACCCCAAGCCAGAGCCGCCCGGCCAAGCGGCCCCCGGGTCCCTCACCCACAAAAACGGGGACCTGTGTGTCTGTTGTGGTTCTAAGCGTCTAAGTCTGGAGATGTCCGCTATGCAGCAACGAACAGAACACCGCCAGCAACACTTTGCACGCCTAGGCTAAAACTTTTTAGACTCACGACGAGTTCTGTCTTAAACTGGGATTGTACCGAATCGGTTGGTTGGGGGAGTCCGGCCGGTTGAAGACATTGACCCTTCCTGCCCCAGAGCGGTTGGGGGGGCCAGCTTTCCGCAGCCCCGCCCCGGGAACGAAGGCACCTCAGCGTTCCCCGCCCGGGGCAGGGCGGGGCGGACCTGGCGGTGCTGCTGCCGCGAACGGACCCCACGGACCGTCTCTCCCACGACGCCTCTGGCCGCTCGTCTGGGGTGTGTGGGGGGAGGGCTAAGGGCCGGACGGTGACTGTTTCTGTGGCGCTCTCTCTACCGGCCCCCGTGGGCTTTCCGGGCAGAGGGCGGACGGGCGGCAAGTGACGGCCGCCTCGCCGGCTTGTTCCAGGTGTTCCGGCTCATCTCCCGTCCCGGCTTCCGTGCGGGTCTCGTTGTCACGGTGGCGCCCCGTGTCCCTGAGGCCAGACCCGCAAGAGCCGCCCCTGCTGGGGTCGCTGGGAGGCGCCCATCACTTCCGACCTCGTTAAGGCCCCGCCGGTTTTGTTTCGGAGGAAATAAACGGGGACGTGTTCACATCATTCTTCATCGTCCGTCGAGACAGTCCCGTTTTGTTAGCGCACAGAGTTTCCCAAACCCCCAAATTCCTGCCCCCTTGGCACGCGGTGATCTGCCGCTCCCAGGCGTCGCCCCGCACCCGGCAGGTCCCCGGAGCTCGGGCGTGTGCGGGCGCCCTCCCCACCGGCCCTGGGGAGCCCGCAGGGTTCCGCGCCGCGGTCGCAGGGCCCCGGCTCCTCTTCCCCTTTCCCGCTCACCTGTGTGTGCAGAAGTGGCTCTGGGCAGGTCACACCTCCTGGAAGGGGGTGGCTAATTTATTTTTTGTTTTTCAAAATTACTTATTTCTAGAGAGAGGGGGAGGGAGAAAGAGGGAGAGAAACATCGGTGTGTGGTTGCCTCTCCCTCGCCCCCTACTGGGGACCTACCCCGAGACCCAGGCAGGTGCCCTGACTGGGAATCGAACCGGTGACCCTTTGGTTCACAGGCCGGTGCTCAATCCACTGAGTAACACCAGCCTGGGCTTACTTTTTTTGGATTTTTAAAATACATTTTATTATTACAGTTGTCCCAACTTCTCCTCCTTTGCCCCCCTCTGCCTGGTACCCCCATTCCTTCCACAAATCTCCTTCTTAGTTCACGTCCATGGGTCATGCAGTTGGCGTCTCCATTCCCTACGCTGTTCCTAACAGCCCCTGTCTACTCTGGGCCTATCAGTGATGCCTCTCAGTCCCTGCACCTTTCCCCCGCATGTTCCCTCTCCCCCCTCCCCGCTGATAGCCCTCCAAATGATCTCCACATCTGTGACTCTGTTCTTGCTCTGCTTGTTGCTTAGTTCATTTTTTAGGTTAAATTTTTGATTGCTGTGAATTTATTGCCATTTTAATGTTCATCATTTTGATCTTCCTTTTCTCAGATAAGTCCCTTGAACGTTTCATGTGGCAAGGGCTTGGTGGTGATGAACTCCTCAGCTTCACCTTGTCCGGGAAGCACTCTCTCTGCCCTTCCACTCCAAGTGACGGCCTTGCTGGGGGGAGATCTCGGCCGGAGGTCCCTGCCTGTCCTCACGTGGGACACTCCTGGGCCTGCCCCTGGGAGGGCTGTCCCGTCCCCTCCCGTCCCCGTGTGGCCTTGGGCATGCGTGCAGCTTAAGTCTGAGGACAACGGCCCCTCGGGGAAAACACAAAGGAAAACGTATTCACAATCCCAGGAATGCACCACCCAGAACGAACGAGGCCACGCTTGCTGCGTCTCCCCACATCCCCACACCACAAGGCAGGGTCGCCAGGTCCCGCTGCCCAGGTTTGCCCGTGAGCTGAGCACAGACAGGACAGCCCCAGGCCAGGCTTCCTCCAGCCCCTGCCGCCCCCGCGCCGCTCCGAGCTCCACAAGGCCCGGTGCCGTCCGACCGCGGGCCCACCTAAGTGCCCGGAGACCTCCCTGTCGGGATTCCTGCCTGGCCCATTCCTCTCTCGCGGCGGCCTCCCCGCAGCAGATGCGGCCGCAGGGCTGTTCTCCGCGTCGCCGCCCGCACGCGCCCGCCAGCAGGGGGCGCTAGCTCTGCTCCCCCGCCCTCGCCAACTCGTGCATCCGTGGTTTTTCGCAGCGTGCCCAAACACCTGAATCTCAGTCTCCTCCCTGACACAGAACACTTCTCGCTGTCCTCCAGCCACGCGGGGCTCCCTCTTCGTGCAAGGTCTGCGCGTTCGAGGGGCTCCTCACCCTGTGTCGGCGCCGGCCTCCGTCCCCCTGCGGGCGCGCGGCGGTGGGGTAGGAAGGGCTGCGCTGCGCTGTCCGCCGAAGGCGCTCCTGTGCATCTCCGCTTCCAGCACAGCCTGCTGGCCCCACGTGCCCCCGGGCGTCCAGGCCGGTGGCCGGGCCCCGCCGCCACCCAGGGGGCCCCCCGGAGCCTCGAGCAGTCCCTCTCCATCCCTCCCTTGCCTGCTTTCGGCGCACGATGCCCTCGCACTCCCCTCCTGCCGGGATTTGCTTTCACGTGCCGCCGTCACCGGAGGGTCTGGTCGCCCCCTCGCTCAAACACGCGGCCGGCGAAGCGCCCGGACCGGAGTGCGGAGCAGTCGTTTGCCCCCACTGGCGACGGCTCAGTCCTTCTTTCACTTCCTTTTCATGTTGTGATAAAGACGTGAAATTTACCAATCTAATTTTTTTAAAGAGTACTTATTTTTAGGCAGAAGGGAAAGAGACAAAGAAACATCATTGTGCAGTCACCTCTTGTGCACCCCCTACTGGGGACCTGACCCACAACCCAGGCCTGTGCCCTGACGGGGAATCGAACCTTCCACCCTTCGGTTTGCAGGCTGGCGCTCAGTCCACTGAGCCTCACCACCCAGGGTGATGGTGAGTATATCGGCATGTACTTGACCATTTATTTACCATTGGAGAAATGTCCTTTGTCCATTTCTGAATTGTATTATTTTTTAACTATTGTTGAGTTTTTAGAATTCCCTCGATATTCTGGATATTAATCCCTTCTCAAACGTGTGACTTGCAAATATGTTTACACATCCCACGGACTGACCTTTCTCTCTGCTGTAATGTCCTGTGATGATCACAGATTTTAAGTTTGATGAAGTCCAACTTACCTGCTTTTCCTTTCATTGCCTGTGCGGTTGGTGCCGTACCCAAGAAATCACTGCCGAGTCCAACGCCAGGAAGCTTCACTCCTGTTCTCTTCTAGGGTTTCCTGTACTGTTCCAGCTCCTCCGTTCTCGTCTGTGATGCACTTTAAGTTAACTACGTAGTGTGAGGGAAGAGTTCAGCTGCATTCTTTTGCTTGTGGATGTCCCGAGTCCCAGCACCATTTGCTGAAAAGTCTGTACTTTCTCCAACAAAGAGCTGTGACTCCCTTCGAGCATATTTTTCCTCTACAGACATGGGTTTTAAAAAGATCTTATTTAATTTTAGAGAGAGGGGGAGGGAGAAAGGGACGGGGAGAAACATCCACGTGAGAGAGAAACATGTCACACCAGTCCGGGCTGTGGATGTACTGTGGTTCACGTGGTTAAATGTATCCATCTTCTCTTCCGTGGCTTTTGGACTTTGAGGCGTGGCTAGAAAGGCCGCCCCCACTCCTGGGTTTCTCCTTGTACTTTTGTGGCATCGCTGCTTAACTGGAGACTGTCCTGAAGCTCAGCAGAAGTATGGCGACAACCTTCTCCCGGATAGCTACGCAGTTGCCCACCACCATTTGTGGAGACGTGCCCCCCACCGCACGCACTGAGAGGCCAGCTCCACCCCACGTCACGTGTCCGCAGGCGTTTGGGTCAACGTCTAGATTTTCTACTTGGTTTTGCTGCTCACGTATCACGTGCCAAGACCCTCCTGCTTTCAAAACCGAAGCTTCAGGTAGGGATTCGTATCCGCTACGCCTGAGCCAGGTCTCAGTTTTCCACTCGAGCAGCTCACCACATCGGAAAAAAAGTCCTGGGACACTCATCTTTCATGACCCTGGCCTGGGAACGCCGGCAGAGCCCTCACCAGGAACAGGGGTCTCTGCTCGCCGTCCGGTCTCTGGGGGCTCCTGCAGGTTCAAGTTCGTCTCAAGCAGGTTCGCCGACCTCCAGGTCGGCGTGTCCCTGACGCCAGACACGCCTCACTCATCCGTTCTTCTCTGGAGTTCACGTCGGCGGAGGCCATGGCCTCGGCGCGGTCATCTGGGCCCTCCTCCTGACTGGTCTGGCGTGGACGGACTCCAGTCCCTCTGCTCCACCGGGCAGGTCCCAGGCCTCCCAGGGTGCCGTGCAGCCGCCTCCGCAGTGCTCACCACCCTCGCCCCCGTTCAGCGGCAGGGACGCCCGCTCCCAGAGGGCGCGGGGCGCGGAGGGACGGCAGCGCCTCCAGCATGCCCTGCCTCACCCGGCACAGCTGGGCCCTCCTGACCCCTTCCCCCGAGGGCTGCGCTCCCCTGCACCCAGCCCACAGTCAGAGGGAGACCGGGGGCCCGAGAGTGGGTGCACCTGTGTCCGCTGTCCCCACCACACGGCCAGTGCTCCCACCCCACCCCCACTGGAACGTGGCCACCACCTCCCGTTTGCCGGCCCTCCTGCCCTTTCTCGGTCCTGTGGGCTTCTGCCCCCTCTCTGCTCTGCGGTCACTTCAGCAGGCTCCCTGGGAAGCAGAGACGCAAAACCGTGCTCGGCCTCTGGGGGGCGGCGGGAGATCTGCAGACCCGGTGTGGAGGACGTCCCCTGGAAGCTTGGCCCCTGAGAGCACATGCCTCCCCGTGGGGGCGCCCAGTGCCACGGCGAGCCTCGGGGATGAAGGCGCTGCCCTGGGGCCTGGGCTGGGAAGACACGGGGCAAAGGGAACAGTGGGGCTGACTTCCGCCGTCGGCCAGGCGGAGGGCTCCCCGGGGGACGATGCCTGACAAGGGGCTGCCGTGGGGGGCCTGCGGGATCCGGGCATGCTGAGGAGGACGAGGAGGGAGGGCCCGGTGCAGCACAGCCAGAGGGAGGGTAGCTTGGTGCGTCCTTGATACCACGGCGAGCAGCTGACGGCCCCCAGGGTGGGACGGGGGGAGGGAGAGGCCGGGTGACGCCGGAGCTGTCAACAGAGTGGGGGACTGACTGACAGAGACTGACCCCCAACCACACTCTGGGCGCCTGCAAGGACGGGCCTGCGCTCCCCTGGGTCTCCGCCCTGAGCCTCCTCCTCTGAGCTGTCTCCCGCTGGGCCTTGCTGTCCCGCTTCCTGCTCCCGGCCCTGGCCTCGCTCCCCGCCTGCCTGGGACCCACGGCCACCTGCCCACCGCTCGGGACTGCTAACGCGGTGTGCGTGGAGTGGTCACCCTGCCCGGGCGCTGCCAGGCCCTGCCCTCTTTGCAGGAGAACGTGTGAGAGAACGTAGGAGCCCCCACGTCTGCCACCTACAGGTGACACACTGGTGCATTCACACCCTGGGTTGACCGTCCTCAGGAATCAGCCATGGGGTCTGCCAGTTTGGTTCCCGTGCACCCTGGCGGGTGCCTCACAGGCACTTGAGCAGTGGACCTTTTGGGTCAGCCTGTGACCATGCACACGCACGAGCAGACCTGTCTGAGCACTGGGGTCTGTGGGCTCCCCAACACTGAACCAACTGTGTAGCCAGTGCCCTGTGCGCCTGGCTTGTCACCGCCTGATCCGTTGGGCCAGGCTCTGACCCCTACACATGGGGAACCACGCGGAACTCCCGGGCACCTGTCTTCCTTCGCTCATGGGGCGTCCCCTGAGGCTGGAGCAGCTGTGCCCCACCCACCCTCGTGGCTGCTGCTGTGTGGGAATCAGGCGGCTGCCGGGAGGACAGAGGTGCCTGCTGTCTGTGGCCGTCACAAGCAGAGCCTCCAGGAACAACCTTCTCAGACAAGGTCTTCTGCTGACTGCCTGCCGACCCGGCGGGCAGGACGCTGTCCCACCCCCACTGGGAGGGCAGAGCTCCCCATGGCTGGGCTCCCTGAACTTGGCGCCACCTGCACGGCCCAGGGAAGGGGCGCTTGGGGAGGAAGGAGGCAGGCCCCTCTCCCTGGCCTCACGTGCCCCCTCCCCAGCACTCGCAGAGGCAGGCAGACCTCCCCCGGTTACGGGAGGCGGGCGGGCTACAAATGCAGCCTAGTGCCCACGCACGGCTCCTGGGGGGAGAGCCGGTACTCTGGGGCCCCTGTCCCAGCGCCGCTGTGCCTGGGTGCCTTCAGCCCCGTCCATCCACGCGCACCTGACCAGCCCACCACCAGAGCCAGTGCCTGTGGCTCCTGCAGGGGAGCCCTGGGGTGGCCGAGGCCAGGCGCCCTTCTGCTTACCCAGTCCTGAGTCTCCGGTGCCTGCTGGCTGCTGCTCTGGGGCCCGGGCTGGCCCCAGGTGTCAGTGGGGCTGGGGGAGGTAGAGGCCAGTCTGGGCCCCTGGGGCAGCTGTGGCCCCGACTTCTCCCTAGGGGGATCTGCAAGCAAAGGCTTCCTGCTGCTCATGGCCTGGGTGGCCCGCCGGTCTGCACCTCTGGGCTCGGGGGGAAGGGCCCCAGAGCCACCTGAGCTCCCACGGCTGCCTGCGTCCCTCTGGCAGATGGAAGCAGTGTCAGGCTCTGCTACGCTCACCTTCCGCCACTAGCCGGACAGTGCGGGGTGGGCTCCCCCGGGGGACCTGGGACCCCAGGTCCTGCTGCCACCTTTCTCCACAAGGGCCCCACAGGCTGGAGCAGCCACTGCGCCCTGTCCTGCTCTGCCTCCCGCAAGCGGCCCCAGGGACGCCCCCTCTGCAGGCCCAGGCCTCCCACCTGCCGACTGCGGGTCAGGGGACCGCACAGCGCGGGTGGGAGGGAAACAGGCAGCGGTTACAATGGTCAGCAGGAGAAGGATGGGGTACAGTGGGGTGCGGGGGCGAAGTGGGGTACAGTGGGGTGAGGGGCGGGGGAGAAGTGGGGTGCAGTGGGGTGCGGGGGCGAAGTGGGGTACAGTGGGGGTGAGGGGCGGGGCGAAGTGGGGGTACAGTGGGGTGCGGGGCGGGGGAGGGGTGGGGTACAGTGGGGTGCGGGGCGGGGGAGGGGTGGGGTACAGTGGGGGGCGGGGGCGGGGAGGGGTTGGGCACACTTTGGTGGGAGGGTCAAAGGGTAGGGGGTGGGGCCCACAGACGTTCTGGAAGGCGTGAGAGGGCGGAGCCCAGCCCGCGGACCTTCCGCTTCGGCAGGCCCCGCCCCGCCATTTCCGCTTCCGGCTCGCGGTGCGCCTGCGCCCTGGCGCCGCGGTCCAGGGGTCCGGCCACGGGTCCTTGTGTCGTCCTCGTCCGTTGCCGGGGGCGTCGTCTCGGGCGCTGCGGCGTCCCGGCCTCGCGCGCTCGGTGGGGCTCGGTTTGCAGCGGGCCAGGCCCGCGGCGCCGACGCCGGTTCCCCGGGGGGGAGCTTGGGGCGTCTGGACGGAAGGGGCTGCTGCGTCCGGCCAGGAGCCCCACAGCCGGCGGCGGCGGAGGGCCTGGGCTTAAGCCCCCGCAGGTTTATCAGTGTCGCATCAGCATCCTGACACCCTTTGTGTGGTCACAGGCGCGGCAGATAAGAATCTGCTCCCCCCGAAGTCTGCTAACATTAATCGTGTTTGCCGTTAAAAAGGGAGAACTGGGAAGGCACACACCTCGAGACCACACGAAGCTCGCGGAGCGGGGCGGGGTCTGCGGAAACCCGCAGGGGCGGCCCTCGCGCGGACATGCCCTCCCTCCCCAGCCCGCGGAGGGCAGAGGGGTCGAGAAATGGGTGTAGGCCAGGCTGCGGGCCCTTCAGGCTGCGGGCAAGTGGCAGGGTCTTGTCATCATGACTCGGTTCCAGGACAAGGGCCGGACCCCAAAGGCCAGTCCGGTCTTCCCATCTGGGGGACGGCAGCGCAGCAAGGCCGGCCTTGGCCCCTCGGATCCTGCCAGCTGCCGCACAGGCACCCTCGGCCCGGGCCCCAGGGGCCCTCTCCGCAGGCTGTGGCCGGAACACTGACTGGGGGGGCGGGGGCACTGGTCTTTGACCCCTGAGGACACGTGACCCAGGGGGTGACACAGAGGTGTGGGCTGGGCTAGAGGACAGCCGGGTCTGGCCCCCACCTCCCTGGCGCCTGCTTCGGCCCCCCGTGGTGGCTGCTGGGTTAACTTTCGAGTGCCAACTGCCTGCGGTCACCCGACGGGCTAGGAACCCCTGCTGAGGGGCCGCTGTCTGGGGCCCACGTTCCTCACCGCCCATCCCTCCGTCCACCACTCTGCCACAGATGGCTTTGGCTTCTGTGTGCCCTTTCTCCGAGGGGGGAGTGCTCTCCGCGTGTCCTCAGAACAACCCCGTGAGGGGGGGAGGGGACACGTGACCGGCTCCACTGAGCCCATGTGGACATCGAGGTGCGAGTGGGGGCAGAGCGGGTGTCCCAGCGGGTTGTGGCAGCTGTGCACCTGCACGACCTCCTGGGCCCAGGGATGGCGTGGCGGGTGGGCTCCGGGGTACTCAGTAACAGCCAGGCTCCATGGCCCTGGGGTACAGAGCAGAGGTGCTGGGTGCTGCCCTCACATGCACACAAAGGCGCAGCCGGGGACAGGGACGCCCTTTGGGAAAGGGGCCACCCACATCCAGCTCTGAAACCTTCCTCTGAAACCAGCTCTGAAGCTAGGAAGTGCAGTCAAGGGTACTTCTCCTACACCTCTTTCCCACTGAGTGTGACTCTGCAGAGTGAGGAGCAGTGACCAAGGCCAGCACCAGTGGTGGGGACGGGTGGGAGGCTCAAGGTCTCCGTGCTTGCTTGCTTCACTGGGCAGCCACAGGTGGGCTGCACAGGCTGCCCGAGGGGCCGTGAACTCAGGGGCTGCACCCTCATCCCAGGTTCCTCTCAGAGCCGGGCAGGGCCTCAGGCCAGGGTTTGGCCTCAGGCACCTGGTCCAGGGGAGTAGGAAGAGGTGAATTTTAGCAAGGAGGTGTCGTCATGGGGGTGGTGGGGGGCCCTCTGCCCAGCGTTCTGCCCACAGGCTCCCGAGGCCCAGGCTGCACCCAAGGTCATGCCCGAGTCCTGTCTGCCAACTAGCCCCAGAGCCACTGGCCACCAACACTCACCCTGTGCAGCCACCTGGGGGAGGAGGTTAGCAGGGAGGGCACAGGTCAGAAGGAGGGGCCACCTTCCACCCCCCGGGACGGGGCCTCTCCGTGCCGCAGGGTGTCGGCGGAGCCTGTCCCTGGAGGCTGGCACAGCCCGCAGCCGGCCCTGCAGCTGGCTGTTTTCGGAGCACGGCCTGTGTGCCTCTCAGCCTTAGGCCCCAGGTCCCAGGGCCACGACCACCGAGGGGCGGAGACTGGGGGACTCGTGCGGTGGTGACCTGGGATGTGGTGGCACAGGACTGGGGGGGGGATCCTGGCTGCAGGGCAGGATACCCCTCTCCTGCTGTGTGGGAAGGCAGAGGGTGGGGCTGCTGCCCAGGAGAGGACCCAGACCCACAACCTAACTCCAAGGAGCTCGGCCTAGAGAGGTCCCCAGCTGCACCCACGGCCCCACCGCCTGAGCACTCACTGGCCACCTCAGTGCTGCTCGGTGACACCTGTACCCTGCAGGCAGCAGGTGGGGCCAGGGCTGAGGCAGGGGAGGCCACTGTGCTAAGTCTGGAGCAGGGACAGCTCACTGAGGCACAGGGGTGTCTCAAGAACAGCCCCAGGGGTGGGTCGTGGGAGGCACTGGCTGGCTTTGCCCAGCTCGGAGGCTGGAGCTTCAGAAGAGCAAGACCTTGCTTGGCAGCTACGTTGTAACATGTATTTAAAAGCATTAAAAATATCTGATACTGTAAAACCTCCACTGCCCCAGGCTGGAGTTTATTAAGAACCACGAGTGAGCGGTGCTGGGGCCACTTGGCTGGTTGGCGGCTGGGGCCCAGGGCTGGGCCGACTGGCCTCTATGTTTTGCTCAGGACGCCCCCAGCGGGAGGCGGGCTGTTGGCTGCTGGCACCCAGCTCCGATCTGGGCACGTGGGCCGCCTGCAGAGCCGGCCCCCTGCAGAGCGGGCCCCCCAGGGAAGCAGAGTCCTGGCTTCCGGGGGCAGGTCTCGAAGGCGAGCGTCCTTCCTGGGGAGGCGAACCGGACGACGCGCACTGACCGCGACACTGCAGCCAGCACTGCGGCCTGGCCCCCAGCCCGCCGGGGCCTTCTGGTTAGTAAGCAGAGCAGTTAGGGGCCCCAGTGGGGGCCTCCGTTAGTCCCGGGCTGTGAGCACGTGCACACTTCGGACGGCTCCTCCGTGTGTTTCCGAGGCCTCTCTCCGCAGCAGACTGCAGTGTTAGCAGAAAAGCGGCGGCGCCCTCTGGGCCTCGGCCACAGGGGGTGGCAGGCGGGGCTAGAAGGTGGACTTGGAGTGTCCGAAGATGCAGATGGGGAAGTGCTTGACGTGGGAGGACCACTGGGCCGCCAGCTGGAAGAACTTCACGTCGTTCCACTCCACGCCGTCGATGAGGACTGCGGGGACAAGGCTGTGTGAGCCCCTGCCCGCTGGCCGGGGGGCGCACCGACCCCTCCCTGGGCCCGAGCCCAGGACAGGCTGGAGGAGCTGAGACCCCCGGGGACTCCCAGGCCCCCAGGGGACAAGGACCTGCTGGCTAGGCCTGTCTGCTGTCTGCCCTCAGAGCCACCCACTGTGGCTCTGACCATGACCTCTCCCTGACGATGGTGGCTGCTGACCCTCACCCCCTGGGCTCAGGGGGGTCTGCAAAACAGGTGGAAGACACCCTCCACTTCGACCAGAAAACCGAGGCAGGAAGGCAGGGGTTCTCCTCCTGCAAGGTCCCCGGACCCGAGCTCCAGTCCCGGGCCCTGGTGGGGGTCACCTTCAAGTCTGAGACCCACGGCTGGAGCTTTGCAAGGAGCCTCACAGATGTGTGTTCAAAGCCCGCTCCTGCGGCGCGCACTTCCCGAGTGGGGTTTAGAAGGCTCCCGGCTTTGCCGTGGCCCGCCTGCGTGCTCCCCAGACAGCGCCGCCGGGCCCTGGCGCGGGGCTGGCGGCCGTGCTCACCGCGCAGCCTGTTCTGCTGGTGCTTGGCGGTGCAGATGAGGCGGCTGATGCCCTCGATGCACTGGCTTTTGGACTCCACGTCCTTGTCCTTGGTTTTCTTGGGCAGAAACATCACTGGGAAGAGAAGGGGCCGTGCTGCCCTACTGCTCCTTCAGGGCTGGGGGGGCCCGCACCCTGGGCCCACCTGGGACGCCCGCCTGCCCCGCTGGGCCCCCCACCGGCAGCCCCCACTCACCCTTCTTGTTCTTCTCCTTGGTGACCACCGTCATGGACATGGTGGGCGTGGCTGCAGCCTCGCCGCCGCTGGGCAGCCTGCTGACCTGCAGGGACCGGAAGGTGCACTTGAGCGTGTTTTTGGCGGCGGGCAGGTCCTTCTTCTCCGCGTCTCGCTTCCTGTCTGCGGGCGGGGCCGCCGTCCAGTAGTCCACCTGCAGCCCCATCAGCTCGGCACCGACGCCCTGGCTGGGGAAGCAGAGGGGGCTCGCTGCGCGCACTCGGCGGGGGGACAGGACCTCCCGGGGGCGGGCGCCGGCAGGAAGGCGTCGTCCGAGCCCGCCGTGGGGCCGTCCCGGTCTCCCGGGACGGGGCAGTCACCTGTGCTGCCCTGGCGGGGTCTGCAAGCCAGGCTGTCCCAAGCTGCCCCTGGGGTCTGGAGGGCCAAGGTCAACCTGCCTCACCCCAGGCACAGCCCCCGCAGAGCCTGGGTGTCCCCCCCACGGCCTGGACTGGGCGTCCCCCGCAGCTGCGAGGACCACTCCAGACCCCACCCAAGTCTCGCCCGCTGAGCTCTGCTCACGAGACCCGGGAACAGCAAGGGGCTGCTGACCCCCGCGCTGTCCCCGACACCTTCTACCTGGCCCCGTGGTTCCCGGAGCCCTGTCTGTGGACAGAGCACCCCCCCGCTCTCCGGACTCTGTGGTTTCTGCCCCCAGTGACGCTGCGTACCTCCTGAGCGAGCGCGGGCCTGGAGCCCACACCCCGCCACGTGGGCTGCCCCCGTCCTCACAGCTCTGACTGCTCTGAGCCCACCCCCGCCAGCCCCTCGGCTTCCTGACACCGGGGCGGCCGGTGGTCACCAGGGCTCTCCCTCCGACCCGGGCCCCGCTGTGCTGGGAGGAGGTGGGTGGGCGGCCGGTCCGGGGCATGGGGGTGCGGCTGCCTGTGCTTACCTGGGGGAGGACAGGCCCCCGCTCACGGATGGGGAGGAGGGAGGGGTGGGTGAGGCTTCCTTGGCGGCTGGAGACATGGACGGCGGGGTGGACGAAAGCACGCCGGAGCCAGAGGGGGCCGCGTCATCTGAGTCTCCTTGGGGAAGGGGCAGGGGCACAGCTCTGAGCCCCCGCAGCGCCCGGGGCATCCGTAGGCTGGGTCAGGCGGGAGGGGGCGTCCCAGGTGAGGGGAGGCTGTGGCGGGCAGGGGTGGGCCCCGGGACACGGCTCTGGCCCCGAGCCCGGCAGCGGGCGGCGCTGGGGCGACAGGCTTACCTGACGTGGCTGAAGACGGCTCCACGATTCCGACCTTCACCACCTGCAGAGCAACAGGCACGGGCTGGCAGCGGCCCAGCAGCCCGGGGCCCCAGGCCCCCCCACAGGAGCCACTGGGGAAGGGCGAGTCCCAGCCCCTCCTGTCCGCGGGCAGAGCTAATCTCAGGGCGGCCACTGGCTGGTGGTCGGCGTGGTGCGGGGGCAAAAGGAACCCCCCTCACAAGGCTGTGCCCGGAAGGCTCCGTGAGGGGCCACAGGCTGCACGGTAGCCCTGCACTCCCAGGGTCTGCAGCTGCCGGAGGCCCCTGGGCTGGACCCAAGCTGTGTCCAGTGCTCGGGACCCGTGAGGCCTCTGGTGGGAAGGCTGCCCGAGCCCGCAGCCGAGCCGATGCAGCCCTGCCCTCTGCCAGCCCTCCGCCACCCGGGGACCTGGTTGGAGAGGCCGGCCCAGCTCCAGGACAGGGGCCGCGGGCCTGCACCAGGT